GGTGTTGTAATTTTCGTTCATAAGTGGTGTTGTTGCTTTTAGGCAAATGTTTTTTTTCAGAGTTTGTTTCTCTGAAGGTAATTCTGTGATTTTGATGATTCGTATATATATCGGCATCTTCCATTTTTTAATTCTACTTCTTTTTCCAATTGAGACATTGCTACATAAAGATTATATTCAGTAGTTGCTTTTTGCCACACTTGATACAAGTCACAGAAATTTTGTTCGAAAAGAATTTGTTGTACTGTATTTGTTGCTTGCTGAGTAACGTATATAGAATTTACAATGGTGATATTTGCAACAACAAAGTGCTGAAATTTTGACGGAAAGTGAAGTAGGTTGGGGTTGTTTTAAGGAGCTAAAAGAGTGCTATATTTTATCTCTACTTTGTTCCTTTTGCAACAACGCATGAACATTTTTTAGTGTTTTAACGATGAGTTTTTTAAGACAGGTCGGAAACAATGAAAGGTTGGACCGTAATGGCTGTTGGGTAGGTAGCGCTTGTAAAGTGCAGAAGAATTTAAAGCAATTTTTTACATTGCATTGCAATTAAATAAGACTGGTGCTTACAGTTGTTGCGATTAGAAACATTCCTGTATCATCGAGGAGGGCAGTATAGCAAAGAATTACGGCAGCGTTCTGCAGAAAGGAAGTATAAAGAAAAAATAAATTTGCCAATTGGGCCGAATTAGCTTGTCGTTGAACACAGGACTGAAGAGATATGTTGAGGAAGAAACAATGGACATCAAATGTCTGGGTAACAAACAAGTATTTACTGATCTTATTATAAGGAATCTCAGAAAATTTCCGACATCTTTTTGCTTAATTGAGGTCCTAATTGCTGCAAAAGCTGTCCGTGACATTTGTACCGTTTGTGAGAAAGGTGTTACAGTTGGAACAATTGGCACAGATCGGTGCGCTACGCTGAAAATGGAAGTTTTGACTTTAAAGGCGCATTTCATTGTGACTGTTCAGTTCATTTCAGTGATTAGCGATAAGTGGAGTGACGATCTCCGACAATATTGTTGAGAGGTATCTTAAATTGACGGGGGAGGTGGGAGCTGTATGAGCATGAAGGTACCGGTTTCACATGTTTTAAGCGGTAAAAACAAAAATCAGCATCCGTTCAAGTTGCAGTACATGCGGAATTTTGAAATCTTAGAAATGGCAATGACTGTGTTGCCGTTCCAATACCACTTAGCCTTTTTCCATTTCGTATAATTAAATATTTTTCTACTACTATGTTCCCTCACTGGTCGACATATAGATAACAACTATTAGGGGCGTTTTGTGTTGTAAAGTGAGGGTTTTTTTAGTATTTCTTTTGCCACTAATTAGAAGGCGTTTTTCCTTTAGAACATATCTGCCTTTAATATCATTGGTAAAAACTTCAACATCTAAGCAGCAGGAAAAAATTTGTAAATGTCAGATAAATTGACTATTAAAAACTGTTATTCTTATTACCAGTCTACCTTATCATTTTACTAAAGCCGAGAAATTTACAGTAGTGTTTTTTTAGCGTTGCTGACACTACTGTTCTTTGTCCATTCGCATGCCGTTTTTATCAATAACTGGTTTATGAGTAAATTTTATTGGAATAAAACATTCTGTATGCTTTTTTTCCTAATGGTTTAAAGCAATAGTTGCCAGATGGTTATCAGTTTACAACCTCTTTATCGAGAGGTCTACTATCACTCTTAATTACCTTATTCATATAGTTCCATTTTCTTTGTTTCTTAGAATCGTTATACTGAATGCAGACAAAAAAGAAATGCGAAAACGTTGCAATTTTTGCTGTTCTAATAAAGCGGTAAAAAACTTTCCTTCACAAATAATCATCTCATTTATGCTTCCATCTTATACTGTATTCATTTTATTTAGAAATGAGTAATTGTTTATCAACCTTTAAATACCGTTAAGTGGTAAACATTAGTCTTGACCTAAGAAGGCTTCATCTCCAAAATCTTTCTTCAGCTCTTTCATTCGAGCGGCAATTTCACGTTTTTCTTCTGGTGTCAACATAGCGTTCAGATGGCGCAAAATCACTTCTCGAACGTTAATATTTGTTGCTCCACTGGCTGTAGCCTGTAATGCTGCATTTCGTAGTTCTAACTGCTCCTCTTTACTCAAATATTTATTGGCAAAATCCTGAAAACATGGACGTAACTGTTTTAACACTGTCACTTAGAATAACTTTAATGGGAAATGGTTATTGACCTAAAAAGTTCATGATTTAAGAAGACGAGGTTTATCAAAAAAAAATGATATATATAATGAACTTCCGATATAAATTTTTTTCACTTAACTACTTTCTTACTCTAATATCTATCCTACTTTTCCTCCAAAATGACCTAGAATGTTAGTAACCTAAAGAAGCTGTTGTCTAGAAACGCTTTCCTTATATTTTCATTTTTATGGCTAAACTTCAAAACTCCTGTGACAAAGAAAGATATGGACAATGACACAATGTTTTAATATACAGGAAAAATGCCTCTATTATTGTGGTTATAAGTTTGTGAAATAAATTTTGTGTGATAACCTAACTGACAATAATATGGCTCGTACGACACATTCAGTTCAAATAGCAATTTTTTCTTGGTGTATAAAGGTGGTTTTTATTTGGCAGTTTTATCCAGTTTCAGTTTCAGTAAAAGCCTACCTTCGCTTTTTCAATTACTTGGCCAAAGTTTCCTTGTGGTTGCGGAAAAGCCCCATTCTCTTAAAGTGCTGCAGTTAAACTATAGGTGTAAGGCGGAACTAAGCATCCAAAATTTTAAAAAGGTTTACCTGATGTCTTATGGTTATTTGGGAATGTCGTACTTGACAGTCCTTCGGAAAGGCTCTCACCGGACCCTGATACAATTTCATCTTGGCAATCGTTTTCTGAAGTGCACTGTGGAGTACTGAAGTCAAGAGTCGGTGACGAGGTAATAAAATATTCTTTTTCCAGTTTATCGCGGAACCGAATATTAACTGTCTGCTTAATTTGATGCAGTGCAGATAGTGGAGATGCGAAGACAGTATGTGATGACGAATAGAAGAAACATGACACTACAACCGTTGAGCAATAAAGTGTTATGATCCGTAAATATTTTTGGTGTTTCATCCTGCAAAAAAACAAGTAGAAAAATGCATTAGAACACTGTTATGAGGAATCAAATTGCTGTTCCCCTCAGCGCTGTTTATGGAAGTTCTTCTTTTCATTTTTCTTTACGTTCAGTGGAAACACGTTACCGTCAGTCAACCGCGCATTTGTATATTTTGATTGAAACACATTTATGCAAATCAAATTAAAATTTGAATTGACTTCTGCGAAAATTGGTTAGCAGTATAAGTTGTATTACTTTTATGGTACCGATAATGTTTACAAAAACAACTAAGTAGAAGAGTAATTCTTGGATTGAAATAAGAATTCCTTCAGAAAAGCAAATAAAATTGAAGCATTTTCTTATAGGCCTTGACTTTATTGATGCTTAATAGTTTTCAGTTCAGCATTACTACGGTTAAGGTCATCTATTTCTATGAAACGAAGCTGAAGGCTGTGGACGCATTGGAGTGGTCAAAACTTGTATAAAAGAGCCTGGAACAGTAAAACACTTTCTACTGGTAGTATAGCGATCAGTTAAACATCAGTTACATCATCCAAAACTAAGCAAATGTTTTTTTCCTGAAAAAGTAACAGTTATTTCAGCAAAAAAAATAAACAGAATATTATTTGTAACATCAGAGTAAAAATGATATCAGTGAGAAGACTAAAGGCATAACAATTAGATAAAATTGGTAGGTACCTTTGGTAGGTACCTTGAGATCCAATCGGTAACGGAGTCATTTCGAACAACATAAATAAATGTTAGACGATTAACTACAAGCAGCAGAAAAGTACTTATTAGACGTGCTATGACGGCTGGGGTTTTGATTTATACAGTAGACTGGTTGCTCTTCATTGCTTAATTTTTTGCTCATTCTGATTTTTTCGCAGTAGTTTATAGGAGTACATCAAACTAAACAAGTTTGACTTCTCACTGTAATCTTTTTTTACTTTCTTTTTAAAAAAGTTAAAACAGACTTGAAACTAAAAATTAATATTTATAGTTAAAAAAATTTTCTTAATTTACAAATACAGCAGTTGTACTTTTGACCAATGGTATTTTAATGTTTATCATTAATTTACAAAAAAATTTTTTTAAAATTTTACCAGAAAAACAGAAAATGAATCACATTTACTGCTCGTTTCAGCAAAGAAATGATTTACTATTGGCGAAAAAGAATGCCCTTTTTTCCTCAAATTTGGCCGTAGATTTCTATTAAAATTGCAATGTAAGAATTTCTCGGTTCAAAGCAGTTTGGAGCAGAAGGTTATCGGAGTAGATACAATGGATATTATCAAAAGCATGAATATCTAAGTAGCATTTAATCTGTTCTAACTGCCTTTAGCAACTAAACATGTAAAATCTACAGCTTTTAGTTCAATCTTGCCCCCTTAAACTTGTTCTTAAATTGACTGCCTACTGCCCGTGTTCCCAGCAGTTGTTCACTGCTTGCAGTAAAGTAATTATGAATTTGTAGTTTTAATCAGTATTGTAAAAACAGTTACTAAGAAAAATTTTATTACTTATTAAAAGTCTTGTTGTCATCAAACATTCAAAAAACACCACTCAGTTTGGGAATATCAACCGCTAAGAGTTTTTGTGTCACCTTGTTTTAGATCTTATTAGCATCAGTTGGATTCTACACGAATGAGCAAAAAAATTTTTCTTAACTCTAGCAAAATATTCATTTATATATAAAGACAACGACCATAACCAGGTTTTTGTAATAAAATGAACCAGAAATAGTGCATTTTTTGGGCATCAAAAAAAAATATTATTTTACCCGAAACTTGGCAAACAAAAGTCCCATAAGGCCGGTAATTAACTTTCCTCTTTCTTTGATATGATAGCCACTTTTTGAAGCATTTTGAATTCTTTCAGCGAATATTCTTCTCAAAATTCAAAAATTTTTTTATATAACTCACTGCGACAGAAATATTCTGATTACCAGCTAACAAATGATTTTTACAGTGGATTTTAAACAGAGGGTTTAAATAAGAAAAAGGATTCTAAACCACTACCTAGCGGATTAGTGATGCAGTTTTACGAACTGATAAAATTTCTTCTCACGTCAAGTAACTTGCTGCTGCAGTAAATTTCTAAAATTATTTTTACGGCACTGTTTACTCCAACTGATCATCAGTCTATCGATATGAGTAAATAAGCTCCGTCATCTTCTCACTTCAGTTACAACCTGGAGTTGTCGAATACAACAGGTTCTAAATCAGTTCAAGCCAGAAAATACGGTTGGTCAGTCGCAATGTCAGTATAATTTAAACAATAGGCTCGTAACAAGAAGTATGTCTTTTAAAATATTCTTATTTAATTTAAAAAACTCTACGATCAATAAGCTACAACAAAACGTCAACAAGATTGCTTCATTTAAGTGGTAAACAACAAGATTTTTCAGGAGTATCTGGTTACAGTTTATTTTAAAAAAATGTAGACAACAAAAAAGTATGTCGCACTTCAAAAGTGCCCCATAGATATTAGCAAGAGTTGGCTTCAGAGGGCATTTTGTAGGAGAAATGGCAAAAAAATTCAGCACACTGAAGTGTAAAAAAATAATAATAATAATTTTGAAAGTCGAAGTATCACATGAAAATTATGACGAAATACACCATTTAAACAAAAATTTTGAATCCAATAATTACATTTCCAATCGGGTCGCAATTTCAGCTGATAAAACTCAATGTGTTCTGTTAACGACATTGACACTTTTATTTTCTAGTTTGCTGATCTCCTTACACCAACAGTAATGTCTATTTTCTTACACTGCTTTTCTTAAACTGCTAAAAAAAATAGACTTGTTTTCTTCCTTTTATTAGGTTCGGAAGTACGACATTTTACTGAAGGAACAATTGTTTTCATTAGACTACAGATTCTCTGCAAGATGACTTTATTATTAGGAGAACTATAACCAAATCTTCCCAAACAAAAAAGCTTTTTCAAACTTCAAGTGCACAGATTGTCAAGACATAAGATTTTACGTAACCTTTGCAGCAATAGTTAAATGTTTCTTGAAAAAAGAAGTTTTTTCCAGGAGTTTTATATGCCGTTAACGTCAGCCTTTAACAATAGCAAATCTAAATAGGCAAATTGGAAAAACAAATCAATGTTGTAGTAAAAACCGTCAGATCTGTAATGTCAATCCTAATGGGAACCTGGTGTTCACCACAACTTTGATTAGCAGTTTTAAACCGATTATTGCCCAAAAACTGCCGAAGTCTGTCATTAGTGATAAACCCTACATGCTAAAAAGTACGACCTATCACTATTATTAACTGTGGTACTTTTTGAATCCAATTGATTCGTTACAAAGCGCACTTTTTTTTGTAATGAACAACAATAAATGAACTAAGCACTTCCCTATTCCGCGAAAAGATCATATAATTATCTTCTGATAAGCCTATTTTTGCCTTTAGTTAAAAACGTACAGTGTACTTCTGCTTACAATATCATTCGCCCTCAACTTAGCCGTTTTTTTGGAATTTACCCCAAACCCAATGGCATCAGCAAAAGCATACACTAGACTCAAGTCACAGTCACCCTTTAACACGCGAATAAATGTATGTTGCGAATACGACTGGCCTGAAGGATATAGCAGAGAATTCGAGAACCCCACCATGTACAGTAACAACCATAATATTGAAGAGGGCACAAGAAGTCCCACTACGGCACAAAACAGGAGACAAAAAAAAGTATATAAAGTATAAAAATAGCTTGAACTCCCCGAAAGTAAAATCCCTTCTGGAAATGAAATTTCGCATTTCTTGGCAGAATAATCTAGCAAACAGTGTCAAGCGCGACGCCGCGACACTAGGTAAAAAAAAGAACGTTTCAGACAAGGCAATAACCGCATTGTGACTCAAGGAACGGTAAGCAGAATTTTGCAAACTTATCTCAAAACGTGTCCACCTCAGGAAACCTCGCCAATGGCACTAAACCCAGTGCCTTAACCGGTATATCTCGCCGACCGCCACAGATGCAAGATAAACTCAAGTCTGAAGCGGCACTAACTCCAGCAAACATAGCTCACTAGTAAGGGAACAGACCAGAAAAGAAATGTCTGCTTGAGTCTCGTCGGTGGCACTAGCCTTCTGTCACTGTTAGGGCACAACAAGTACCACTTCTTTCTCTCCGAAGTACTTTTGACACAGTTAAAAGCAATGAACCCAAATGGCCAACATTAAGGCCAGGAAATTCCACAACCAATGGGGCAATTCACCGACACCGCCAAGGCCAACCGTAGTCCGCTACCGTGGCGCGAGGTTACCCACTTCCGACACCACAGAGAACCCGCCTGATAAACAGCCAACACCAGTCGCCCGGCCACAACCATTCTGTTGACAATCAGCTGCCTATAGCATGTACTATCAGCCAAAACACCTACCTGTCCCAATCACTCCCCTGTATTCTTAAAGGGCATATTGAACAAAGGACAACCATGCGTTAAAAACAATCTCCGCAGAGAGGTGTGCAGATCAAACCGTTTTATTTGAAACCGCTTTCACCACTACCTGTATAGTACAAGTTGAAAAATACAGTTACTTACAACATTATGTCAGTTTCCTGAAGTTGCTATAGCATAACTTTGTAAAACCATACTACAAAAGGCAAATAAGCCATAGATGTAATATAATGACAGATACATAGTTCTCCAATCAAATAACAGAAACGCTGTACAACCTATTCCTTCTGGAATCCTTTTTTCATACGTTCAGCATAAACCGGATCTTGAGGCAGAGCTTCAATCACTTGCGAGACATCGCCTCCATACTTTACTGATAATTCCGTTATCCAGCCATTGCAGTTGTCGAAACCCATGTCTTCAATAAGCTTCACACAGTGCGCAACTCTCGGATCTACAAATTCCAGGTACGGAACTGTGTGTCGACAATTTGACATAAATCTAACGATTCGCTTTCGAAAAAAAAAACGACGACGCAAACCCCTCAAATTGTTTCAAAGTTGTACCTGGATGAATATACATGAAGTGTGGATTATGCGGAAAAGTGACGCAGTTGACAGATGGAGTTCCAGCTCGGCACTCTTCATACTCGTTTTTTAGACTTGGGTAAACTGGAAAAACATTTTAAACAGAACAAAAATTGAAACCGCAGAATGTCTTCATTAGACGCAATGAATAAAAATGCAAAGCTTAAAACGGGTGAAAACATTTAACACCAGCATACCCCTACCGTTTGCGTTCACATTTGAGCCATTCTGAGCGGCCAGCACAGTCCACTCCCCGAGATCTCCATCTTCATCCGTCGAAAAATCAACGGCAACAGGCTGAACTAAAACAGCCATTTGATCCCCCCCACTAGCAACAGTCTCACTTGAATTACTTTGCTTTTCCGCACTCGCATTTGCATTTGACGCATCCCCGTCTTCCTCCAGATCCACTAATGGAGCTTCTTCATTACCAGTCTCCGAAACATCCATTTTCTTCAAATCGACAGTAACCGACTTCACCTAAAGCACCCTTAGATTACGATTAACCGAAGTCCTCATCCGCCAAATACCGCTAAGAATACGTCAATCAAAGAAAAAGAACTTACTACAAATCAGTCATTAAAACCACCTTTTCATCTTTTTCTCCCGAAGTGGTATCATTCCCTCGCTTTTTCTCTGCTTCCTTTTTGTTTACAGAGTCTGGAGGAACTGGCGTAACAACAAGCTCTTCATTTGTTGGCGCATTTTTACTGAGCGTGTCAAGGTTATGAGTAGTAACTACCTCTGTTTCGATTCCTAGCATTATTTCAACAAAAACTTTTGCTCATAATTAACATTTTCAACAACTACAGACAACATAAAAGAACATCTACAAAAGGAAAATGGCATTTTACCGAAACCGGAAAGCGCTCGTTGAACTTGTTCCCCAATTTCTTTCAAACTGTGAAACGCACTCCCGACAGTTTCCTGAAGCGTCGGTTTCCCCATCTCTTTTTTTTCATCCTATGCTAACTGCTTTTTACAAGAGAGGAACGGAAAAAAATCTCAAAGTCCTATCTTAGATTAGTGATACTGAGAGACAGCTGAATACCGTCTTATTATAGCCAGACTGCTTTGTCCCCTCAGAAGTCGTTTCAGGAGTCACTTTTCTTCCAGCGTTTAAATTGGCTGCAATACACCCAGCGGCAGCGATTGCAGCATCGGCGGCTGCTGCACTTGTTTTAATCGCATCCTGTGCTGCATGTAATGCAGCTTCCCTTGCTGTCGCAGTAAATTTCTGGTAGGGAGTAGAAGAGTCAAAAACATCGCTGCTAAATGGACCTCTGGAGTTTCCAGAACAACGGCGGTGCGGATGGTGAAACCTGCCCAGTGGCTGCAAAGAAAAATTAATTTTCAAAAAAACTCACGAAGAAGGTCCACATCTTTTGTAGATTATTTACAAAACCCGCGTTCACAAAGCTAACACTTTAATAATGCTAGTTCACCGTATACTAGTGACAAAAGAAGACATACCCTGGTTCGTGGAGACACATAACGAACCATGGGATGTTCGCTATGAAGAGCCTTCCTCTCACAAACTTCGCACAAATCAAAATTTGGACATATTGAACATTTATAACGGATTCCAATCACACCTTTACCGCATGCATCACACTCGACTCCACGATGCTCCTCTTTCTTAAAGAAGCAGATTTAACGCACAAACATCGGACTATATTATTAAAACAGGAGAATAAAAAGATGCCACAGGAAAAACAGTATCAACCACTCTAAACTGCTCGTCATTGGGTACCGGCTTGGTCGAATGATAAAACGGTGACCCCACTGAAAAAAAAAATGTTTACAGCGTGAAATACACTCGTACTCTTATTGAAAATTGCAATATGAAGCACAGAGGTCATATCTTTGAAGGACCCCACTGGATTACCACACAATAATGGAACAAAAAAAAAAAGACCGTTGGGCAAATGCCCCAATATACGCTGCCGATCGTGGACGCTACTCGTTAGCCGCTCACTGCAGTTAAATGCCACTTACTCTTAACATAAGCAAGAAAAAAGAACATAAAACTTGAGCCTTACTCCGCGTGGAAAGGCGTAAAAGCTTCTGGTTTTCTGGAAAAGAGGCTGCATAATTGAAGTCCTCGTCAGATGCAAGTATGATGGGATCTCCTTCTTCATCTGAAAAACAGAAGACTGAGCTAATTTTCGAATTAAATTAAAGTCTACGTGTCGCCTTCTTAATACTTAAATAACAAAAATAACCTTTCCATACGAGCTGGTCGTTAAAATCAGGTACCACAGCATTAACCTTCTTCATTAAAGTCACATATCCACTTTGCAGCGGCACCTCAAAACGACGGTAAACGCCCTGATGATCCCACTTTACCTTCACATTTCGGTTTACGCTAGCCTGGTCTGTCGGAAACATCTGGGATAAAATCATTTACATCAGAAATCTTGAACTAGTAGCATTCACTAGCAAAATATTTTGGGCGATGGTAAAGTATTTCGGACAAATTTTGCGGTCATCGTTACATGAATTAGGGCGTTATGGCACTTGAGAGTGCACAATTTCAAATATAGTTACTCTTATCATTAACCTAGCTTCACTTTCCTGTTAGAGTTGTCAATCCCGTCTAATCCCTCTGTTAAGAGTTACCTACGGATATGTTTTTTTTTTTAATTCTAACGGTCGAGTTCCGCTTTAATTCTCGTTTTTCGAAACACCTTAACTCTGTTATACTAAACAATCTTTCTTTAGTAGCCGAAACCTCAGGAAGCTTGAAAGTTCACATCCGATCACCATACAACTGCTCTACCCATACTTCCTACAATTCTTGACCACTCTCTGGTCTACTGAAAGGTGCCTTATTTAACTGCAGGTTACATTTGTCTACAATAAATCTACCCCATAAAGGAACTGTTGAGTAAATCTCCCAAAATAAGTATTTCCTATCTATGCGCCAAAAACAATCCCACTTAGCCCCATTCATGGCTTTTTACCGCTTCCTCAAATAAGACCACTGTTCTACAGCCTCCAGCAGTTAAGAAAACCATCCTAAACGCAGACTCCCAATCCTTTTTAAGAAGCATGTTCTATCCACTACTTTGTCTAAAAAAACTGCTTTACTATGGCGGCCCAACTACAAGCATTACAGCAATCGAAGAAATTCTCAAAAAGAAGTAGTTCATTCAGCGGAGTCGATCTAAAGCCATTTATTTCTACTAGCAGTAAACCGTTGAAAAAACCTGCACCATGTATGAAACAATCATGCATGATTTATGCAAGTCAGGAATTCCATAAAGGAAAAAAAGACAGTGGGTTAACAGATGAACAAGAAGCACGCATGTAACTAACTGCAATAGCGCACAAAACTGTAAAAGCCAGGTACTTATTCTTCTAATTCATCGGTAAACGAACTGCTAAAGTGCTTTTTTTCCAGCTTTCAACGTTCAACAAGTTTACCACAGAATTTAACGCAACTCCTAAGATAGAACTTAATTAAAAGTCAACAAAAAAAGTTCGCATCATCGAACCAGAGTACAAAAGGTAGCTCGAGAAAGAAAAAAAAACGTGATGTGGGACGTCTGTTACTTATCCATCTAAACGACCGGTTCAAACCAGTACTGGAAAAGGTGAACCACATCAATTAATGCCAAAAATCCTAATGATAAATTTCGAAAACAGTCACATGGGAGCAGAAAAAGTGCCAAGAATAAAACAGCCGTAAAAGAACAGAGTAACATTTAAGCGATGATTACCGCTCCATTATCGCTTAAGCGCGTTTAACAACTGCAAATTCCTTTTTGAGTAACCTTGCTGCAAAACCTTCCAGCGCCACCAAAGTGGGGCCCCATCAATTTCGAAACGTTTTGCACAAAAGTCACTGATTTGCAAGCGCTCAACAAGCAGCGAAACTTCTAAATTCGAAATTCATTTAAAACCGTTCCATTTTCTTCCCAGCACCACCAACAGCATGTACGTCCACAGCTCAAAAGTGCTATGCAAAAACTAAAACATGAATGTGCCGCTGAAGTCCATAAATGAGACGAGCAAAACGGCCAAAGAAACGGCACTTCCAACGAAAGCACAATACCGTTTTGAAACTACATGCTCAAAAACACCCCTCGATTCAGCCCCCTAATATAATTTTTTTCCTCCCCCTCCCCTTTTCCAGCGTTTCTACGGCCATTGCTGCGCACACGTCTTTCGAAAAACTGTTGAAATACACTTTGCGACAGCAGCAAAACAGATTTCTGCAGTATTCTGCAGTATCTCATATAACACGTCGCTGTCGCGGTTGCGTTCATGTGATTCGTAGTGCAGAAAAAAAAAAAAAAAAAAAAAAAAAAAAAAAAAA